CAACTTGTTTTTTAATAGATGTTTAGAAATCGCAATAGTTACTGTCCCCTTTCGAAATAAATCCTTTACTTATAATGACCGAATCTTAATTACTTACCAGACAATCCTACAATCAGAGCGGGAAAGTGAAAGGATTATGTTGGCTGCTTTGGACTGATTGAAAGAAACGAACGCGGAGAAAGATTGTTGCAGTTCTGCATAGAGGATGGCCTGGTAATTAGAAACACAATTTTGGCTGCAGGTGTAAGCCAGAAATTTCATAACTTATAAGGAGAATACCTATGTTATATAACAACTCAAACAGAAACCATCGGAAAAAGCAAAAAGCAAATGAGACAACATGGATCCCGAAAGAAATATTGACAGAAGAAAATGCGAAAACTAAGATCCCTCTAAATAAAAACAAATACAGATCACAATCAAAAACAAAAAACGAGTAACAAAAGATGTACCAGTACAGATATTATTATATACGAGAAGCTAGAGCAATATTCATTAAATTTAAGAACCTGCTAACGACCAGGGATTTGTTGTTGGAGCTAAGGAAAAGGTTTGGGTTAAAAGATTGGACTCGGATTCGGGAAGGTTCAAAGAAATTGAAGGCTTTTGAGTTGCGAACAAATACGCTGAGGATATCCTAGATGTATAGGGTTGCATTCGAGCAAGTTTCGATAAGAGGGAACAAAGAAGTGAAAGTTTTGTTTATGGTTAAAAAATCTGGTCTTAATTAATGATGCAAGAAAAGTTACCCGGCAGTAGAAATGTCAGCCACTGGAAAATATCTTGACTGCATAGCCTACCAGACCGGTTTCGTCTAAAACTCTGTAATTTTCATCGAAGATTAAAATAGTAATGATTATTAACAAGAGCAAGTAAGCTAAAAAATTATTTCATAATAGTTTTTAATGCTCAATCTATATTTCTTCGGATCTTACGAAAATTGTTTTGCCCTCATACACCACCAGCTCATTAGAATCTGAAATATTATAATATTAGATACTTCAATAAGTAGTCCTTGATGTTGAAAGGGACAACATTGGCATTTTCCAATTAGGAAATAGCACAGTCAGCAAGAACTTTATTACTATCGGGATAAAACAAAAACCTTTTGAGCGACACTTGGTGCCGTATAGGAGGGCAGAAAAGCTCTCGAATAATATTAACAATAATGCGATTACAAATAGGGGCTTTCTGACACTTAGCTTGAATAGCATAATTTTCTCCCTAGGCATTTTGCTGTCACGGAAGGGATCTTTAGATAATTTGTGAAGAAATTGTGTTTGACATAATTTTCCACTTAAGTTAAATTGCTTTCAAACACGTTGTAACATTATTATCGGGAGAACAACAATATTTCAATAATACCATGGAGTTTAACAATGTTTCTTCTTAACTCATTCACATTGACAGCAATAATTCCTTCAACAAAATTATAACTTTAACTATTTGGGCTATTAAAGGGCAATACGGTGACAAAGTTGGACATTAAGATTAAAAGTTTTAAAAATACTATTGAATATAAGGAATAAAAAACGAAAGATATAAGACAATGTCTTATATATGTCATATATCACTAGTCATGCAGAAATTTCTTTTTTATCTGGTATTTTTTAGATAATCTTCACAAAGACCAGCTTATCAGGCCAAACACCATTGTATTTTCCAATTGGATTTAGAAGCTCAATATACGTTCGCACATCCAATCAAACTCAAATTTTATATCCCTCCTTTAATTCCGTTAATCCACGCATAATCATTGATGATCACTTCTGATAGACAACTAATCCCAACTGTTTTCTTAATCAAAATGAATATCAGTAGACATTTTCTTTCTCTTTACTTGAAATTAATACAGGTGTAGTAAAGAAGCAAGAAGTAGACAGTATCTCATAAACTGAAGGAGTATTATACACCTTTTGCTCCTAGCTTAAGCATCAATATCAAAATTATAGATTGTTCGTATTGAATTTGGAAAAAAAAATAATTGCGAAACAAATTTTAATGGCAACGGTAACTTTGTGGTTGTTATCTTAAATACCATTTTAATGATAACATTGTGAAACAGATATGCAAACAATCCGTGAAAACATTATTAAAATTGAACGTCACATTTCGATGATTGCCTAGTTTGTTATTCCCCTTACACAGCAACATGCGTTTGCTGTCTCATATTTTACATAATTCTCTGCACTCTGTAAAACTTAACATTTTCTCATAGAAACAATACGTTTTCTTCTGTGTTACGAAAAAGTTTTAGTTGTTAATTGGTATGTATACTGGGGAGAAAGTTGATGGTTGAAAGCTCCCAAACATTGATACTGTGTCTGATTGTCTATGTTTGAGTTAGCATTTAAAACATAAGAGAAATATAAGGGAAATGGATTAGAAAGAAATAATGTTTCGCGGCGCCTTCAAGACCCAAAAAACGCACCGGTTTCATGTAAAACATATTGTAATTAAAGGTCGTATACTTTCTGTGGAAAAATACAAAGCACAGTGCGATATTACCTGTTTCCGATTGAATTATTCGAATCCCATTTCTCGATCCTCTTTTCTATCAGAATACATCAGAACCCTGAATTCACAATCCTAATTCCTCAGAAAGAAATGCCGCTCTTGGAAATAAAATTTGAAAAAGTATCCAAAAAATATTGATAACAGTAATAAGCTTATTTGCCACCGCCTTTCAACTTTCTAAATTTAGACTTCAAGCGCTAATGCATCCATATAAAGTCGAAAGCTCTACCAGATTTACATTGCCCTTTATAAATATTTTGGACATCACTCGGAAAAAGTTCGACATAAAATCGTTCCTGGTGAATCGTTTATTATCTTTACGTAAATTGACAGGTTTTACAGTGAACTGGCTCAGCGCCCCCAACCATTAACGAATTTAACGAAACAATCTATTTCCACATTTATCGGAAAAATGTTTCTGCAAAACCCTCTTTTTAGATAAAATAATTATCAACTGGAACAGTATCACATTTCAATATTCAACTTCAAATAAGAATTAAATTACTCCACTCTTTGCAAATAGAAGCAAGTCTAAACGTAAGCAAGATATTCAATGCAAAAAATAAAAAAACTTGAAAAATTGATCGCTTGAGAAAACAATAGTTTTGTATAATTTATAATTTCAATAAAATTACAGCCCTTGGTGCCGGGCGGAAAAATCTGCCAAACAGAAAAGTTGCTAGTCATAAATTGCCTTTTGCAAACAATGACGTTCCATCTTCTTTGTCCAAGTTAAACTTTAGTTTAAGTTTAAACAGTTTCTACAAATGATAAAACTATGCATATAAAAATATATTATTTTTTAAATCGAATAAATTTTGAGAAAAAACAGTTAGAACAAAAATTAGCTGTGAAATGGGAGATAATAAACAATAAGAGAACAAGCCTGGGAATAGTAATACAAAATGATTCAGCAGTGCCTTCGAAACGCCTGAAGTACTCCTAGAAATGAAAATTTTTATTCAAAAATTCTGAGGCCAGGGAAATTGTCAGTTTGTCCAATATTTGATTCAGTTCTCTCTGTGTCAAAGTGATTATAAAAAATATTGAAATAATAAATTAAAAGTAGAAAATACAACGGCGCCATTCACAAAACAACCGGATGTTAGATTGAAGCTTAGTATCTGCAAAATTAATCAACACCTGCGCAATTTATCTAATTCGTAGAAAAGTCCCACCAGCGAAATCCTACTAATTAAAAACAATCCAGGCGTACATTAGCAAACTAATTCCATAATAGAACGAGTAAGATTAGCCTTCCAGCAAATGTTTCAAGGTATTTATTTTGTTACGAATTGCCGAATGTTTAATAGGACCCTTGTGAAGTACTATTTCAAGTTTTTCAAGTAATTAGTATTTATAGATATGATACGCATTGATTTAAGTATCAGTTAAACGTTAGATTTTGGGTGTTTTATTTTTCCTAGTTTGTCATTAACAGATTAGGTAAAGTCAAGAACCAAAGGTTGAATATGATTTATCCTTTTTATATTCAATTTGATTTTTACGTTTCTGGCATTGGCGGTACAATCTATTTTAAAACGTGGAATGTTAATGTGGCTGATAAAAGCAGTGTAAATGTGTGGCTAAATTTCCATTTATATTAAATACTCTCTCAATAAAAGTTAATTGGTTTGATGGTATTGTTAATGCGGTTAACAATTTTTGAAAATCAGCATGGTTTTTCGGTTGAAAACATGTAACATGCGTCATGTAATATCCCTTTATACACTAAACTTTTATATCTATAATAAAATATTACGCACTGGATATATTACAAAACGTACTATTTGCAAAGCACACTACTTTTATTGTTTCCGAGATTTTTTAATTTATCTGAACACTTATTGAAGCCTGAAAGATAACTTTGATGATCAAATGGATCTTTAATCGTTTAGAACCGAAATCATGTACCTCGACCCACTTAAATAAAACAAGGGTTTGAAGTATTTACACGGAAAATTGATATTCCAGAAAAGGTCCAAGATTTCCTGACTATTTAAAGCAATGAACAAATAGGAATATCCAAAAATTGCACAACTTAATCTCTACCAGTGCTGCTAACCGTTTTAGTCACGTTCTGGCTAAAATTCCATCCAGAAGATGCCATCAAGATTCTTATCAAATACTTACTGAATCAATTTGACTGCAACAAAAGCAGTAAAGTGATACAACGAAGAAATATAAATGTAGCGCCATTAATATGTTAATGTCTCAGATATCAATGAAGAACTGATTCTCAATAGTGGTAAACACACGGAAAATATAAAGATTTTAAAACGAGATAAAGACTGGACTAACAAACAATACCCAGGTCGATCAGTTGATTATCAACAATAAGTAAACAAAGAAAAAATTAAAAAGATAACTATGTATTAGAAATAATTTCAAACGTTACTGTACACTTAAAAATTTTATTACAATATATTTCGTGATTAAATATTAGTTCTTTAATATTGCAAAGCATCTGAAATCAACATTTGGGTTATTTATTGAAACTAACTTTTATCAGTACTTTCGAAATTCATTAAGATCATTGGCTGAGCAGCACAATAAACATTAGCGACGACAAACAGATATTAACAAAACCGCTAATTATCATTACTGATAATACTTTTGTGAAGGTATGTAGTTTGAGTGAAATATATACTTTTAGTGAAAATATAAAGGTGTACATTTTTATATTTTGGTCGGAAGTTTCATCAGTGTTAGCGAAATGTGAGTAAAGTAATTTTAATATATATTAAAATGGACGTATCAAATCAATAAGAGCAATAAATGTTTTTTTTGTTTGAACGTTACACATTAAACATATGAAAAGAAGCGTAGTAAAAAAGTAGTCAACTTTGAACTATTGTAAACAGTAATTTTTTCCACAAGATGTAGTTAATGATAAAAATGATCGATAAATAGGCAAATAAAACCAGGATACTGGCCACGATTAATTAAATATTTATTGAAATAATTCATGTTAGCAGATAATTTCTGAACTAGTAGTACTATAAAGTAACTAGCAATAATAAATAATGCGCAAAAGAATGATGGGAAATGAAGCAAATTTGTAACTAAACGACCGAAAAGCCAGATCAATGATTCCGCAATTATTCAAACGCGAACGAATGGAAGCAGAAACCTATTTATAGGACTTTTTTTCGAAATTTGACAATATTTATTCATAGCCTGATTATAATACCAGATATTTTCCGGTTTTCCTAGGGGGCTTATGGATTTACGATACATAAAATGTACGAGTATCATCATCTTGTGTTGAATATCCGCCAAAGCTACATAAACACATTCGCAAAGTCTGGCTACCCAAAATACTTTATAAAATCAGTTATTTCCTAGATAAATGGTTATTTTAAGTTTTAAATTATTTTTGTGGCTATTTAGTACATTCCCACTCTCGACTTTCCATTGCATTAAGAAAAATAAATCGACAAAAATTGTTAACGTAACCGCTCGAATATTAATATTAAATTCAGTAAATATGGCATGAATTAAATATATGATCTTGGATAAACGAAACCGGAAGAAAATATCTAAGTAAATATTTAAATGGAAACAATAATAATAAATTAAATTTTACTGGCCGCAATAAGAAGTATTCATTTATAATTACATTAGAGATTTAAATATTCTATGAATACATATATATCTGTATATCAAAAATTATTAACAACAAAAACAAAAAGTTATCATGTATTCAATAAGTATACATATAGCTGTCGATGTGAGTAGACGTGTTCTAGTCGCGGTGATAGTGGTGTTTACAGTTAGAGGCATACATCGATTAAATACCATTC